CTCTAGTCGTAGCGCCGTGTGTGTGTGTGTGTTCGAAGTAAATACACGAAAATAGTGTGTTTATTTGGTGGGGGTTAGTGGGACCTTCGCCGGACTCTGGATCGGCTGAGTTCACCTCAGCCTTTGACAAAACCCACCTCATAAAACATTGCCCCGTAAGTGTTGTTTTTTAATATATGAAAAAGATTATTGCCAAATCCTGTTGTAATATTAATCCACACACAATCATGAACTACCACCAATTGATTTTATTAAAACAATTTAAATTACGAATATGTAAAAACTCGATGCGAAAAACTAAACGCCTGCGCACAGCTGGAATACGCGGAATATTTGAAGAAAGAGTGTAGAAATGATCCATAACTTGCAAAACATGTTTCGTTTCCAGAAAAAATAAAGCGAACACTATTAAATTGAAGAAACAGTCCATGTCCAAAAACCCCGGAGGAACACTGAAAGAATTCTGTGTTTTAAATTAGCATATTTTAAACGAATTCGGAATGTCTAAGGTGGAAAGAAACCAACCATTCTATAAGGAAACAGTTATAGAAAAAGGATTTTCTTACACTGTATTCATATCTCCGCCAGCAATTTGTGACGACAACATTTAAAAGCAGGTAAGGAGAACAACGACACTATTTATTAGATGGCACATTCAACGATCCATTGTGCCAAAATGCGGGTCTAAACAATTATTGATTATTTAATATTGGAACCGAGATCAAATAAGTCAATTGATTGGTTTTCAAACACTTTTGAAACACAAATTATATGCTTTTTTACTTCAGACAAGTTGTTGCCCCAAAACACAGCATAAATCCTCCATTCAGGGCTGCTAACTATCCTTAGTTATGAGGTGCCATATTGAGGATAAAAACGTGCCAAAAAGTGCCAAAAAAGGTGTCATTCCTTTTAATCATTCACATTTAGCAATAAAATAAAGCTACATTTTCCAAACAAAAGCGCAATGTTAAAATAAGATAAACCAGTTGAATAGCCTTTATAAATTAGAAAATTTGAGTTGAGAAAAAGAAATGCACGCAAAGGATTTCACAAAAATATATTTAAATGTTATTTATTTTACAAAGGTGCCATTTTGGCACTTTGTGCCAAATTGAAAAATTAAGTGCAATTTGAAGTAAAATAGGGACAAATGGCACGGTTTGGGCCAAGTTGGCATCCCTGCTTCCAATAACTTACAAATATAAAAATGTGAAATATCGAGGGCTTGAATTCATTAAAACCCTCTCTCTGCAACTTGCACAAAAACTAATTTGTTATTTTAGAAATCATCTGGGACTTATTACCTGTCGTTATATAAGGTAGCATTAATATCACTGATGACAGTTAAAGCTTAGGTAGATTTTTATATCAGAATCTCATCTTTGTGAAAAGTGTGCAGGTATTATTGAATATAAGCCTTCGATGTTTAAAATATATAAAAATTTTATTTCAACGTATACAAAAAATAAATCTACCTGCGTTACAGCGCGGCGGGAGACGGGGAAGGGGGCCGGAGGGGCCACGGCGTAACGTGACGTGGTGTGCGCGCCGGTCGCGCGGGGCTCGAGCGCGAACGCGGCGCGCGCGGTGTGGGCGGGCCGCCGCGAAGCTAAGCAAATTTAATGTTTGAAAGAGAAATAATGTCAATGGATTTTATTTCGTTTTGAAAAGGTAATAATGTCAATTGACTTTATTTCGCACCAGGGTGGGAAATAAAGTCAATTGACCTTATTTCCGTTGATCTTATTACCTGTCACCTACAGGACTGCTGAATCGGTAGCTACCTGATAAACACCGTCAATTACCGACCGACTACTTGCAGTGTATTTCATCGACTACTTTTACAAGGCAATATCCTAGGCGGTAGTCACCATCGGCTCTCTCTGCACTACCGGGAGTTACTAAAGTAGTCACTTGCGTGATTTATGGGCGCCCTCTGTCGTAGTTTTTCGCTATTCTGCTTACGACTGTTTCGACTCTGCACTACCATGTGCACTACCACGGGTTAATAGAGTTGAAGTCGGTGCAGTAGCGGTTCAAAAGTAGCGATTAACTCCAGCAGTACTGGGGAGAATGTTTGACGCAGCAGTTACATTCACTTATAGCTACATATATGAACGCACGCGTTTGGTCCACCAATACATACGCGTGCGAACAACAGCGGAAATTTTTTCTACATTCGCGAACGCGAACTATCTGGACTTAGTTAATGCTTCTCGTTCGCGAACGAGAATCGATAGAGAATATTTTATACGTTCAAGTTCCCGAACGTTCATATATGAATATTTCTGAACCCTCCTTTATGTTTTATAAATTATATGTACATACCGTCTAAGAAACTCTTGAAACGTAATGCGACAGGAATAGCCAAGCTGTCTGCCGGCAATTGTATCTAAAACGCCAAGAGCTTTCATTTGTTGTTGTACCATATCGGCGTGAAATGCTCGTGGTTTGTATTCTAAGTCCGCCCTAATGCAACGAACAAAGTGCACACCCAGATTGCTATTGCATGTCAACGTCTTAAGCAAAGTTAAGCAGGTAAACCGAAAATTCGCTGCCAAGGTTCGTAAGTTATTCACTTGCGAAATACACCCAGCTGATAGAGTGTTTAACGGCTGCAAAGTAGAGTTTTGAAATGTTAAAATACATGCTTAAAATTATAACGAATGTCTTACATAGGATTTTCTTTGGGAGTCTTCTGACTTGTGTTGTACGCATTCAAATGGCATTGTTAAATTTCCCGCTTTCGTGAGTTGATTGGTAAACATAATCATGATATTTTCATCCATCGACGAGCGAAAACACTCTATCATTTCCGGTGGCACAAAGTCACGATTTATATCTGTGAAAGCGCGTGTATCATATATGATGCGTCCTGTGTAGTGAGCAACGGAAATTTCGGTGGTCGTATGTTTCTTAACGAATTGGCTGTGTTTTTCTACAATGCGATCTACAGAGACAATAACAAAGTGATTCAACTAAATAAATTTAAAATTATGAGCACAAATAATTTGCGTAATTGCGTATATAATTCAGCACAACTCAAAGAAAAGTCACATGCATTGTGTGCTTGTTCTCTGCCCATGCCTGCACATACATGATGATATTCATTGAATTATTTTGCAAAACTAAAAAAAAGGGTATTTTGGACCACATAGAAAAAATTTCTTTAGAAAAAAAGGAAATCTGACTTTTGCTCATTTTTAATGGATAACGCAGACCAACAAAAATATGAATAGTTTGTTTTGATAACTTTTGATTGTGAAATTTTAGCAACATTGTAACAATTTATGAAATTTAAAACGAAAAACGTGGAGCGCATGAAATACAAAGTATTCGATTTAATTGACAATAGTCCAACAATATAGCATAGACCTAAAATTTCTTCAGCGCCAGTACAAATTTTCAATCTCATAAATTGACATTTGCTAAAATTTCAAAATCAAAAGTTATCAAAACAAATTCTATGGGACTGAGAAATATTATTTTCTACTTTTTAGTCCATTTATAAAAGCGTGGTGTTCAAGAGAATTAAATTCTCTACAAAGATAGTTCTAAAACAAATTGCGTGTTTTTTTAGAGCTAACAAAATTTAATTTTTTCTCAAATTTATATTTTGATTTACTTTTAAAAACTAATTAAACAACTTTTTGAGAAGCAAAACTTATATATTTAACAATTTTTTATTGAGCTTGAGACCGTTTTTTAATGAAAACTTATTGTGGAAAAGCAAATGGTAGAAGTCTTAGCTGCTTCGGAAATCACCACATTTCCTCATCAGACTTCTTTCAGTAGGATTCGAACCGACGATCCCACTGACTCAGCCAGTTGCCTACGCACTGTGCTAAGTTCGCCTTGTTAATTCTTGTTGCTTATTTCCACTATTTCACTTGTTAAGCCAACTACAATCAAGCGCAGCTATTCCGCTGCAATTCACTTGATCATGTGGTTGTTGGTTTTTGTTAATATTTCTATTATTAGAATGTTTAACGTTTTTAGGTGTGCTCGTCCTTAAATTATTTGTTTTTGTTATTTTATGGCCTTATAACAATTATATTCAACAATTTTTTTATTGAGCTTGAGGCGGTTTTTTAATGAAAATTAATTGTGGAAAAGCAAAAATAATTTGAAACAAGTAAGAAAGTCTAAGTTCGGGCGGAGCCGAACATTAAATACCCGGCGCAAGTATTAAATATATGTTTTCCTCCTTTCCGAAAGCTACCGCTACATGATAAGCCGGGGTGTAGACATTTTAAGTAAATTAGCGTCCTTAAATTTCGAAATATTGAAATATTTCTTAAATTTACCGTTATATGAAAAGCGGCCTCAATTTTAGTCCGATTTCAACAATTTTCAACGGTTTGCTTTTACGTGGCAAGCACAATAACCATACCGAGCTTGGTACAAATTGCTAGAACGGTTAGCGAGATACATATATGTGATCACAAGTGGGCGGTGCTACGCCCATTTTCCAAAATTTTGTCATAAACGTATTTCTTGGTAAAGAATTGTTGCAACCATCAATTTTGAATAAATTAGCTTCAATATTTACTGATTTATCGAAGATTTGGTATTTCTCGAAATTACCGTTATATGGGATGTGGGCGTGGTTATTGTCGATTTTAGAAATTTTCGGCCATTTGGTATGCTGTACCAGGACCAACAACTGTGCCAAGCTTGGAAGAAATTGGTGTAGCGGTTACCAAGATATAGATATGTAACCATAAGTGGGCGTGGCTACGCCCATTTGCCAAAATTTTTTAATATTCTTATTTTTTGTCTAAAACTCATTGCAAATATCAATTTTGAGTGAATTATCTTCAGTAGTTACTAAAATATCGCAGTTTTCGTTTTTCTGAAAACTACCGTTATATGGGAGGTGGGCGTGGTTATTGTCCGATTTTTAAAATTTTCAGCCATTTAGTACGCTGTACTAAGACCAACAACTGTGCCAAGCTTGGAAGAAATTGGTGCAGCGGTTACCAAGATATACACATGTAACCATAAGTGGGCGTGGCTACGCCCATTTTCCAAAAATTTATAATATTCATGTTTTCCGTCTGAAACTCATTGTAAGTATCAATTTTGAGTGAATTATCTTCAGTAGTTACTAAAATATCGCAGTTTTCGTATTTCTTAAAATTACCGTTATATGAGAGGTAGGCGTGGTTATTGTCCGATTTCGCCCATTTTCAATACCATCCGTCCTACGCCCATAAGAAGTTCACGTACCAAGTTTCGTTAAGATATCTCAATTTTTACTCGAGTTATCGTGTGCACAGACGGACGGACGGACGGACAGACAGTCACCGCTTAATCGATTTCTCTTTTCAATCTGATCATTTATGTATACATTTGTCTATATCTATCTCGATTCGTTTTGCCTGTTACAAACAACCGTTATGTGAACAAAGTTATAATACCCTTGTGCACAAGTGCGCTCGGGTATAAAAATGGTAGAAGTGATAGCTATTTCGGAAATCAGCACATTTCCTCATCAGACTTCTTTCAGTAGGATTCGAACCGACGATCCCACTGAACCAGCCAGTTTCCTCCGCACTGTGCTAAGTTCGCCTTGTTAATTCTTGTTGCTTATTTCCACTATTTCAGTTGTTAAGCCAACTACAATCAAGCGCAGCTTTCCGCTGCAATACAACTTGATCATGTGGTTGTTTGTTTTGTTGGTTTTTGTTAATATTACTATTATTAGAATGTTTAACATTTTTAGGTGTGCTCGTCCTTAAGTTATTTGTTTTTGTGATTTTATGGCCTTATAACAATTATATTCAACAATTTTTTCATTGAGCTTGAGGCCGTTTTTTAATGAAAACTTATTGTGGAAAAGCAACAATAATTTGAAAAAAATGGTAGAAGTGATAGCTATTTCGGAAATCACATTTCCTCATCAGACTTCTTTCAGTAGGATTCGAACCGACGATCCCTCTGACTCAGCCAGTTGCCTACGCACTGTGCTAAGTTCGCCTTGTTAATTCTTGTTGCTAATTTCCACCATTTCACTTATTAAGCCAACTACAATCAAGCGCAGCTTTCCGCTGCAATTCACTTGATCATGTGGTTGTTGGTTTTGTTGATTTTTGTTAATATTTCTATTATTAGAATGTTTAACTTTATTAAGTGTGCTCGTCCTTAAGTTATTTGTTTTTGTTATTTTATGGCCTTATAACAATTATATTCAAAAAATTTTTTATTGAGCTTGAGGCCGTTTTTATTGAAAACTTATTGTAGAAAAGCGACAATAATTAAAAACGGCCTCAAGCTCAATAAAAAAATTGTTGAATATAATTGTTATAAGGCCATAAAATAACAAAAACAAAACTTGTTTGTATAGTTAATTTTTTATTAAATTTTATGATGTACACAAACTAGTTTTCGTATTTTAAAAGATAAACATGATTTTACTTAAAAGAACAATAAAGACAAAAAAATAAAATTTCTATTATTTTTAATTGTTAAGTTTTGTTGGTATATTAATGTTAACCTCAGTGCTGGCAGTCTTTCATTATAAAATTTGAGGATTAATCACACCAGGGCCGTAGCCCTGATTATTTGGATTCTGGCAAAATATTTCTTTTATTCTCACTTTTATTTCAACATATTTCGATTAAAAGACAAATACTGATAAAAATTAAATACTTCACACAAACAACAAAAAATATAATCGATAGTCGCATGAGGCTATTGCCTGAAAATTTAAAAATGCACAGGCATTGTGCTACTATGATAGCACGGCCCAGTAATCATAGTCAACTTATCTACAGTAGACTGCATCACTCCCCATACAAAAAAAAAATCGGTACTATTTTTCCACTGAAATTATTAAATCTATTGTATTTCAAGGCTTAAGACCGATTTGAAAATATCTCCAAAAATCGAGTTTTTATTAATAAAAAGTTTTTTATTTCATATATTTTGAAAAAATTACCCCAGATGACTAAACAGTTTAAGCTTAAAAAGGTTGCATAAAAATACAAAAAAAAAAATGTCTACGGAATCATAATAATGAGATTTTTTAATTGTGGAAAAGCAAAAATAATTTGAAAAAATGGTAGAAGTGATAGCTATTTCGGAAATCACCACATTTCCTCATCAGACTTCTTTCAGTAGGATTCGAACCGACGATCCCACTGAACCAGCCAGTTTCCTCCGCACTGTGCTAAGTTCGCCTTGTTAATTCTTGTTGCTTATTTCCACTATTTCAGTTGTTAAGCCAACTACAATCAAGCGCAGCTTTCCGCTGCAATACAACTTGATCATGTGGTTGTTTGTTTTGTTGGTTTTTGTTAATATTACTATTATTAGAATGTTTAACTTTTTTAGGTGTCCTCGTCCTTAAGTTATTTGTTTTTGTGATTTTATGGCCTTATAACATTTATATTCAACAATTTTTTCATTGAGCTTGAGGCCGTTTTTAATGAAAACTTATTGTGGAAAAGCAACAATAATTTGAAAAAAAATGGTAGAAGTGATAGCTATTTCGGAAATCACCACATTTCCTCATCAGACTTCTTTCAGTAGGATTCGAACCGACGATCCCTCTGACTCAGCCAGTTGCCTACGCACTGCTAAGTTCGCCTTGTTAATTCTTTCATTAAGACCGATTTGAAAATATCTCCAAAATTATAGTTTTTTATTAATAAAAAGTTTTTTTTTCATATATTTTGGAAAAATTGCCCCATATGACTAAACAGTTTAAGCTTAAAAAGGTTGCATAAAAATAAAAAAAAAAATTTTCTACGGAATCATAATAATGAGATTTTTGATGCTGTTTTTGAACGTCTCATAAAGAAAAACTTGAATAACACAGCTTGCCAATTTAGACTTATGCCAGTGCCTTAAAAATTTATGCAATTTAAAAAAAAATCAACAAATCTTCGTAAAAATTTCGAGTTTTTCAATTAGATTCTGAGTATGCAGTTGTAGTAGAATAAA